ATGCACAGACCACTGGAACAGAATTGAGAATGCAGAAATAGATCCATTGACCTATGGAGAGTTGATCTTTATAAAGGCCAAAACCCACTAAGTGGGTAAGAAGAGATAGTCTCTTTAACAAATGGTATTGACAACACTACAGAAAATTGAACAACTTCCATACTTTAAACCATACACAAAAACTAACTCAAGATGGATCCAAAATCTAATTGTAAAACCTAAAATTATAAAGTTCATCAAAGAAAAAATAGCAGCAAACTAAGGAGCCCTAATTTATGGCATAAGTAGACCATGAAACATAACCAAAAATGTACAAATAGCAGAAGAGAAACTAGATGACTTGGACCTTCTAAAAATTAAATTCTTATGTGCTTCCAAAGACTTCTTCAAAAGAGTAAAAAGAGAACCTATAAATTGGGGGAAAAAATTTGGCAATGACATATCCAACAAGGGACTTATCTCTAAAATTTACAGAAAATTTTAACACCTCAACATCAAAAAGGCAAACGATCCAACTGAAAAATGGGCAGAGGACATGAACAGACACTTCAACAAAGAAGACATTCAGGTAGCCAACAAACACATGAGGAAATGCTCATGATCATTAGCCATTGTTGTTGTTGTTGTTGTTATGTTCCGTCGAGTCGGACCTGACTCATAGCGACCCCTCCTTGGGTTTCTGAGGCAGTATCACTATGGAAGTAAATTGCCCCATCTTCCTTCTGCATTAGCTATTGTTGTTGTTGTTGTTATGTGCCATCCAGTCAGACCTGACTCATAGCGACCCCTCCTTGGGTTTCTGAGGCAGTATCACTATGGAAGTAAATTGCCCCATCTTCCTTCTGAAGAGTGGCTGGTGGGTTTGAACCGCCAGCCGTCTGGTTAGCAGGCAAGTGTCTTAGCCACTATGGCATTAGCTATTAGAGAGATGTAAATCAAATCAACAATGAGATGTCATTTCACCCCAGCAATAAGAGCAAAGTTCAACAAGAAAGGAAATAACAAGATGCTGATGGGGGTGTAGAGAGATTAGAACTCTCATACACTGCTGATGAGACTGTAAAATGGTATAACCACTATGCAAAACAGTATTGCGCTTCCTTAAAAAGTTGGAAATAGAAATACCATCTGATCCAGCAATCCTATTGCTAAGTATATATCCTAAAGAAGTGAGAGCTGGAACACAAATGGATACATGTTTACCTATGTTGTCACAGCACTATTTACAAGCAAAGAGATGGAAACTAAATTCCCATCAGCATATGAATGGATAAACTATGGTACATGCACACAATGGGATACTATGTAGCATTAAAGAATAATGAAGAATCTGTGAAACACTTCATAACGTGGATGAAGTTGGAAGGCATTATGCTGCGGTAAATAAATCAATCACAGAAGAACAAATATTAGATAAGTTATTATAAAAAGTCAAGGAAAGATTTACAAACATAAAGAAATGTTCTTTGTTGGTGTTTTGGTTACCTCTGCGCTGCTCTAACAGAAAATACCACAAATGGGATGGCTTTAACAAACAGAAATTTATCCTTACAATTTGGAGGCTTTAAGTCCGAATTCAAAGTGCCAGGCTCTAGGGGCTGGGTGAAAGCCCCTCAACCTTGGGCTTCAGCTTTGCCTCCTGCTCCCGGCCCACTGGAGCTAGAGGCTTTTCTTCACTCAGCTGCTGCCTGCTGAGGCTGACAAGCCCAAGGTTGACGAGTAAATAAGGCACAGTCCTGATGTTACCAAACCACATGGCAGGCCCTTAGTTCAAGTCCATTGAAAGTCCGAAGGTTGGCAGAGCAGGATGCTGAACAATGACTCAGCTACATGCAGGGTTCAAGTGTGCCATAAGCTAGAGACCCTTCCCAAAGCTGCCTCTTATGTATGGGAAGCAGACCACATCCCTAAAGCAGCTACTTAGCTGCTTGTGGTAGATTCCACCATGGAGTTGATTGCCAATCTCATCATGGGGAATAACTACCAACAGCTGCCCAGCCACTCAACCAAGCCCAGACAAGTTGACACACAACCTTAACTACCACAGTTGGTTACCAGGGATGAGATGGGAGGGGAGGGGAGAGAAAAATGTTAGCTAGGTAAGAAACATATAGTGATCTGTGTGAAGGGAAAGGCAACATACCAAAAGTGTGTGACCAGCACAATATCACTCAGGAAACGGAAGACATGGAGAAGTACACAAGAAGTACAGAAAAAAAATGGTAAATACTATTACATACACAATTCTGTGTTATTAGAATTGTTATATCACACATATATTAATGGCAAACATTAATATATGGGTGGATACATAGTTATGCAGGCAGGATGATCTGTAAGGGTAGGCAAATGGAAATATACCCATGGCCATATATAGGTTTGGCAGATGATATTTCTACATTGTATATGCTATAAAAACAGTCATATATATATATATAT